TAACTACACTCAAGAGGTAGTTCTCAAATTTCTAATAAGAAGCCCCGGCCAGTCAATTTGAGACAGTTATATGCCAATAACAGTGAAAGATTGCTGTGTTGCATAGTAAATCGATGGAGACTAAAAGTGTAAACTATTAAATGATGGCTCAGTGGTCTTAGGTTCAACCAAGGATGCACGCTGCTGAAGAGTCCCGTGCTTGGATTATATATATAATACCTTATGCTTTCTGGTTTTCAATGACTGTCGAATTAAATCCAGCCTTTGACATAAGTTACTATGCACCATTTACATTTTTATCTAAAATATTATTTTTAGATTTTTGTCACATTTAATGACCTTAAAATTGATCAAATTTCTTATTCTATTGTCCTCATAATAAGTTTCACTTATTGACCTTTCTTTATCATCTAAATAAATTTACCAAGAATTACTCTCCTATATAAACGAATAGAAAAAACTGAAAATAAAATTTTTTTTCACACCGAATACTCAATTTAAAACGGTACATAAACAAAAAAAAAAGAGTAATGGGTGAACATATAAAATAAAGGGTTTATTAGTATAACATTTCTAATGTTATATTTGAGAAATGCCATTTTTGAAGCCTTGTTTTATAAAGAAAATAATGATTCATAGCATTGTAGTGACAGATTTGACACATGTGTAGTAGTACATGAAATATACATTTAAATATCTACCTCAATTCAATGAGTTCATTTTAATTTTGGTTGATATGTATACAAATATTGTGGTTAATATCACTCCCTATAAGTTTGTAGATGTACCTTTTGGACAAATTTCAACTACCATGAGAAATAAGTTACTTGCAGTTATTCAATATTAAAATATATTCATCGAGACTTGAAAGCACTCACATAAGTACTCACTTTGTTACTTACTTACTTACTTACTTACTTACTTACTTACTTACTTACGCCTGTTACTCCCAATGGAGCATAGGCCGCTGACCAGCATTCTCCAACCCACTCTGTCCTGGGCCTTCTTTTCTAGTTCCATCCAATTCTTGTTCATTTTTCTCATGTCTATCTCCATTTCTCGGCGTAATGTGTTCTTTGGTCTTCCTCTTTTCCTTTGACCTCCGCCTGGAGTCCCTCCGGGGGCTACTGCTGGTCCCAAGCCCGGATAAAGGAGGAGGGTTGGGCATGGGGTAAGCGTCACAATTGATTGATCACTGGGTGGTGATCAATCTCATGCTTGTCTAGTCCTTATTAGTGCAGATCGAATGCTATCGATCATCTCAGTCCTACAGGAGGTTAGTCACGGCTCGGATAGCTCAGTGGTAACGTCTCTGACTGTGAAGCTGGGTGACACGAGATCGAATCCGCCAGGGAGCACCAGTTCCCTCAAGATTACAGGCACACCTTGCTGACGAGTGCCAAGTAGCACGAAATCCGGGTCCAGGGTTTCCTGTTGACTACCTCCAACCACCATCTAATGGGGTAAGCGTCCCCATCCCGTAGAAAACTAACTCGCTAAAAAAACGCTAACCGGAAAAAATTATTCAAATCTTTTACTCACTTTGTAACATGGTCTAAAGAATTCAGTCAAAAATAATTACTCGACAAGACGGTATTGGTTATTATTTACTGGCCAGTTAGCATGTAGACTTTCAAATAAATATATAACAAACTAAAATGTTAAGTGTCAGCTGGATGTACCTGCATCCCAGAGTTGATGTTCACTCCACGACTCGAACTCAGTACCGTTCGCTTCAAACTCCATCGCGTTATCCACTTAACTAGGATGAAACGCACGTTCTGGATTCCATTGCTAGCTACTATCCATCTTTGCTTAAAAAGCTTGTGACTTAAGGCTATATCGAGACAATCCGCACAGGATGCACATATGCCACCAAGTGAATTTAAAATGTTAGGTGTTGTAAAATAGAAGCCTAGTTATAACGTCTAAGTCTACAATGAGAAATTAAATTGATCTGATTCTTACTACTGAAAAGGTTTAGTAATGAACACCAACTGCAATGAGAGTTTATTCGTCATGCCTTAATTGTAATGTATTGTTATGTTAAATAGTAGTGAATTTCATTTAATTAACAAAAGATACATATCAACGATCACCTTTTGGGGTTTTAGTCAAATTCTTATAAATAGCTTCAGCACATTACATTCTACAACTTCTAGATTCACGATAGACTGAGAAGTCTCACAATAGGACGAAACGGTCATCCAGTGCTTCCAGGTTTTCCATGGTGGTATAGCTTCAATTCACTCATGATCCCAATTATTTAAATTACTAAAATCTCAACAAAACCCCTTCCGATACTTATCGGTATATTTTAATCATCAAGTGTATAATATAACCTTTGACCTTAAATTTGACCATTTGAATCTGACTTGTCTAGTCATATAATTATGATTGATTGTTAATTGGTTCCTGTTAACGTAAAATGAAATAAATTACATAAGTTTCAAATACTTTATATGAAGCTTAAAGGATAGATTAGGTTCCATCCCATAATCAACAAACAATCTGTATTGGCATCCGTCCATTTTCAATTTTCAACTTAATGTACAATAAGATTATTATCTCTTTTCATTTGTAAACAGTTAAACTATAACATGTTATGTAACTGACCATATGAATCCATGGAAAAAAACTTGATTTATTAGATGTAAGATAAGGGGAATGAAAACACATTTTTTTCATCAAATGTAACTTATTGTGGAATAGTTGCCAACTTAGATTAGTAGTATATGTGATTTTCTTCGAAATTATCTTGTAGTACATCTCTCGGTTGTTGTTTTATTTAACAAAATGAATAACATTATATTTCAATTTCTAATAATCAGTCAGTATGGAAAACAGTGAAATTATTTACTTAGTTAAATTATGTTTATTACTTGAAATGTTTAGTCGAACTAACTTTGCTGAGGCAGTATTTTCATTACACAACTTCTTATTCCATTATATAGAAGTCTAGACATAAAACACTCTACCACTTAGTTACTAATTCTGACCTGATTCACTGACAAGATTAAAGTTTTGGATGAATTATTTTTAAAAATACGTTAAACTTACCGTTTAGCCCATGATTATTGAACTGCAAAATAAATAATATGACTTGAATAAGTTACGAAATTCTTTTTAATTTTAAACATACTCTAAGTCTTTTAGGCTTATCTCATAGTTTACGTCACATATTGATAATAGTCAGATAGCCATTGAAAACTATTAAGGATTGGATAGGTAATTTATCTTGGTATGGGACTTCTCAGCAGTGTACATTCGCGCGTTAACACATAATCTCCATACCAGTGAACTGGCAACTAATGCTGCACATGTTTAACTCCAAGCAATTCAAGATACTGCGGGACCCTCATCAATTACCTGCGGTGAATAGTTGTTTCACACTAGATATGGTTGATCTCCAGTCGTAATGATTTAAGTCTACTATTGTGAAACTGATTGAAGTTAGACATGTATGCCATCAGACGACTACACAAGGATCTAGATGTTGTGCATTGACACGCGAGATTGGAGGTCTCGAGTTCGTGGATGCGCACTGATGAGGTATCCCATCCCGGGACGAAACGACCGTCCAATGGTTCCAAGTTTTTGATGGTGGTTTAGCTATGATAATAATATTGAATTACATTTAGTGACTGAAACGCGTAGATTATTATTATTATTATTCATCCATAAAATTCCTCATCAAAAATCCACTGACTATAAATTCTTAATTTTTTAAGTTTCTAAAAACTGTTTATGTTATGTTAATTGTATCGTTCATTTTGTTAAAGTTTAAAAAAACGCACCTAAAATTGTGCAACTATAAATTGTTGCATTGAACAATATCAGCGAAGACAACAGACAAAAGTGAGATACTTTGTTCAGCGTCTTTGTTTCTTTCAAAAATCTTGTGACTCATTTCAATTTTTATATTGAAGAAAGTAATAAATTTGTATTACAATCCAGCGACAAAGAAAATAGGTTTGTTACATGTTTTTTACTAAACTAAAAATGAAATGATTAGAAAGATCCAAAATACTCCTAGAAAATTATCCAGGGGGGGCACTGAAAACGCTAGGAAACAATCTATCCAATCAGCATTGAGATGGTGGAGAAGATTTGTAGCTCAGGTGGATGATTTTGGTGGAGTTTTGTTCTCTGAGCTGGATGGTTTGGTCGTGGAGCTTTCATCGTTCTTCTGAACGACATCATCAGCACAAACTTCAGATAGAAGTGAAGTTTGTGCTGATGATGTCGTTCAGAAGAACGATGAAAGCTCCACGACCAAACCATCCAGCTCAGAGAACAAAACTCCACCAAAATCAGCATTGAATATAAATTTCTCAGAAACACCTGGAAAGTGAAGAGTCACGAGTCATATTTCTGATTGAATGATTACCTATCATGCTATTAAGTATAGTAGCGTTCTGGAACCTTCCGGAAGCCCAAAGTCATATGAAACGCTATAAATACCCTAAATTTCCTGTTCATAAACGAACATTGGAGTGAAACGTTATTTACCTAATTTGCGCCTTTTTTCTCGTGTTCGATTTGTCGTGCAGTTTTAACCTGCGGTTATTAGAAGAGATTAGGAAACCGATTCAAGCGTTCAGTCAGAAGATTGATCAGAAATGAACATTTGTGTAGTTATTTAACAATGATAGTATAGTTCCTTTTAGTAAATATTATCAAACTAATAAATAAAGGAATAATAAAAACTAGTGCTTTAATAACGAATATAATTCAGTCTTCAGTAATTGTATTGTTTCTCTTAAAAAAACAGATCATCTACCATATTTGTCTATGTACTTTCATTGGTTTACCTCAGAATTTTTATAAAACCAACAAGATGTTAATTTGTTGTTTGTCATGATTATTCACGCCTTCAGTAACGATAATCCTTGAATTAATTAACCTGTCTTAAAATGGAGAATTTCGTGCATTTTCAATCATTTTAAGAAATGACTAATGTAATGTTAATCATACTCTTTTGTCCTTTGAACTTGTAGTCCCAATGAAACCAAGAAAATTACATCTTGTGGACATACACAAAAGAACTCGTTTAACATCAGTATTATCACGAACAGATCAAGCTGGTGTACATGGACAAATAGACCTACCATATTTATGTGTTGAATTAGCATGGGATCCTCCTGAAGGTCTACATACCACAAAACAAATCAGTTATCAAGTATTTGTTAGACTGATAGGTCCGCAAGAATTAATAGAAGAACTAACAGATACTACTTTAAGTTCCAGTGAATTATATGGGTCCAGTTTAGAACGTGAAGGTGGCCATCCATTATTACAAAGGAGATTACTAGCCAATGTTACTGGAAATACATTTAGATCATCAGAAAGTGACAGGATTGGTAAGTAAAATTGTGTAATGTGAAAATTTCAATTTAACTTGCTATTCATCACAACTTATAAACCTTTCCTGCATAAAAATTACAGAAATACATTTTTCGTATATGGTTTAGTAAATACCTCAACAATAAAGTTTACTACATTTGGCTTACAACTTAAGAAATAAATCCTTAACAAGTTACTTTACAAATCTATAAAACGAAAAATCCAGAAAATTATATTAATTAAACATGAATTGATTTCAAAATTTATGAATATCTAAAGCAGTACTGTGGTGCGTGCTAATAATATTGATCAGAAGATGGGGGATGATCAAGAAAGGAAGAGCGAGAACACAATGCAATTTGTAAGAAAACGCATGAACAATGAAATGTGAGACAATCAATTGATAATTGCAACAGGAACAGTCTGGTTTGATATGATGGACTGATATTTAGCAAATTAACTATTTACTATATAGTTTTTCTATTTTACTAAGTAACTCTGTAATTTGGTGCTAAATACAATTCGATCGTCCCCACCCGTGTTCTGTTCACTATAGTACCACTAGGAGGTCATTCAATACTGGATAAAAAAAAACCATTTTATTTAAAAAGAAAAATTGAATAGTATAGGTAGACATAAAATGAATCTGACAGATCAAATGTAATCTGTCAGATTTAGTTAGTTAAATTAAAATATGTTCTACTCCAACCTTGAACCAACATGTAACATGATATGTTTTTATTGATTTATTTATAGTTGTTGTGTTATGTAAGAGATGGAAGTAATTGTTATCATTTTATTTTGATATAATACCCAAACAGCACAACGATAGGTAATATATATTCCACAGTATGTAATTACAGATCATTGGATTATAAGTTCAATTATTACTTTGTTTATTTTTGTTTTGATAGAATAATGAGCCATCACATAAGAAATATGCCTTAAAGTCGACTGTTTTGAGAGTGTGTACTTGATTATTCATAAACTAATTGGCAATAAAATAACACTATACAATTTATAAATAAACTAATTAATTACCCTTAGGTATAAAACAATTAGAAATCCACTTGAACATTATGACTCACAAGCTACTTAATAATGAGAATATGTATTCAAGAAATAATCTTGTTAGTAATATACTCATTAAATTCTATCAGAATGTATCATTTTTTTGTTTACATTTCATAGAATTTTTTATGATTGATTCTTCAACAAATAGGGAAATTTCGAATTTTATCAGAAGGGGTTTTGTGGAGATTTCATAGTGGAATTCATAGGCCAATTGAAACTAAACCACCATGGAAAACTTGGAAGCACTGGAAGGCCGTCTCGTCCTTGCACTGGACTCCTCAGCAGTGTGCATCCACGATTCCGCCCTGAGAGAATCGAACCTAGGACCAATCGGCCTCACACGCGAACGCTTAACCATTAGACCACTGAGCCGGCATCCAACTGTGTTAATGTTTAACTTCAACTAATCCACGAAATTGCGCCAACGTCCAACATTATTTTCAGTGAGTAACTGCCTGTTGCTTCTGATAATAATCATCGTATGCTCACTAGTAACTGGCTTGAAGAGGTATTTCCTGGAGTTCTAGTGAGAAACAGTGACCAGTGGAGCTCAACCGGGTTTGTTGTGAGACAGTAACTCACTGAAAACAATGGTGAATGTGCCGCTCAATTTCGTGGATTAGTTGAAGTTAGACATTAACACAGTTGGATGCCGGCTCAGTGGTCTAATGGTTAGGCGTTCGCGTGTCAGACTGATTGGTCCTGGGTTCGAATCTCGTTGTGCGGAGTCGTTAGTGCACACTACTGAGGAGTCCAGTGCAAGGACGAGACGGCCTTCCAGTGCTTCCAAGTTTTCCATGGTGGTCTAGCTTCAACTGATTCATTAATTCCACCATAAAAGTCGATTTGTCAAAAATGTAGTAAAAATGGTTAAAAAATAATAAATCTAACACAAGTAAAATAGTAAATAGGGTAGTCTGAGAAAAAATGCCAAAAAACAAATCAAACTTTTGTTGATCAGATAAATAAACCGAGAGTAATAAACTAAAATGTCTTCATTTTTTTAAGGCACCACTCCAGTACACTGAATTTTCTTGTAGACGGCTTTGGATAACAGAAGATATTCCAACGACTATAACAAAAATGTTTAAGAATTGATTTATATTAACGAAGTCATTATATTAAGAGAGCTACTTCAGATAAGAAGGATCTGGATTAGTATTTTGCTACAGTTCAGTATACATCAGCCGCCAAACCGAATTATGAAACTAGTTGACCAACTGATCAACTGTTGTTTTGATCCATGGTAGTGGAAGCTCTTTCAATTCCCATAAACAAATGATTGAAGACCCTGATTGACAGGGATTAGAATCATTCACAATAGCATTCATCTTTCGCCTTCCTTTAAATATTTAACTTCAAGATTATTTTGTACTTTTTATTCTCCAAATTCATTTATTCACCTCAAAACAAATTCACCTTGCTTAATGGTCTCTTCTTTTACTAAAACTAGTACATCCGGTTCACATATGTACCAAGTCCTAAGCTACTCATAACTGACTGACTGGTATTCAGTAGTGAATACTGATGCGGCACAAAAATCAATTTCATTTTCAATGTCAAGTGACGGAAAGTAATCCCCAAATAATTAAATTGTATTTCGTAGTTTACATCAAGGAAAAATCTTGGCTAGACGACCGTTGAAATCTGGGAAGCACAGGACAGTTGTTTTATCATAGGATCGGATTCTTCAGCATAAATGGTTTTGCGCTGTTGAGAAATCATTAGAATTCAGCATGCTCATCACTAATTGCCGACTCAGTTATCTACCTGTTGATAACTCACTTCGAAGGTCCTAGGTTTGTTTACCAGTAGGGTAGTGAGTGAGCACTACTTAAAGGTCCCATATTAAATCCAAACAATTGTCTATTGCTTCCTTGTTTTGATTGGTTACTTAAATCAGATCAGTTAGTGATTGAAATAATAAAGTTCAATAGCCTTCACAACGCTATATTATATTATTTACACAATTTAACCGATAATTGGTTACTTCAATGTAATTATTAGATTCAGTTTTCTTAACCCAATTTATTCAAGATAAACATTGTAGGTCTAGTTTCATACGCCATTTAATATGAATTATCAGATTACTTGTATTAAATCTAAATCATATACCTTCAGCGATCTCCTTTCTACATTTAACAATAACGGTGTTTAAAAGAACTCAATAAAGTGTTACTAATTTTATTTATTAGTATTTTCTGACATATGGCCCATTTGATCTTTTGATAGTATTTAGCTAAAGGAAACACTGTCTTACATTTACTGTTGAAACACAAACTATAAAGACTATAATAAGTCTGAGTAAACACTTTTATCAATATTTAGATGACAGATGGTCATATCAAGTTCAATATAACTAGAAATGATACATTTACACTGATATATATTAGTTAAGGAGTTATTCATTGATTTTATATATTTACCTTTAGCTATTCGCCGAATTTTACAGAGAATTGTGTCTATTATTTACTAGGTAACTACCATCTGTTCACATCAGTAAAAGGATGAGAGTATACATTACTAAAGATTCACTAAAGTTCTAGACTTTAAATGATGGATCAAGTGTTCACGAATACTTTTGACGATCTATATCACACAATGTTAAAATATCTTTTGAATAAACTTTAAAATATAATTTATTGCCCTAACGTGTTGAAAGCTCACCTTAGTCAAACATAAATCGTTATTAAGGTGTATAATTGTTTACATCAATAATTTTGTGGTCACCGGGGGATCTAGAAGTCATCGGTTCGACTCTCTGTACAGTTTTGAATGTGGACTGATGAGCAGTATCGGTCGTCGATGGAACAGCTATTCAATGTCTGGTATGCCTCAATAACTTTATGAATAGTCAAACTATATGGTACAAATATCTCCGAAAATAGTCTACATTTCCAATGATTATAACATCCTAAAACTATTCATTTCCCTGTATATATTGGCGGTAATAGAGGTTAGTTCAAATTTGAGAGGAATCATTAAAATCAAGAAACATTGGACAACAGCTTCATCACCAATAATTGTGACTTCTCAATAGCCCTCTCTCTCCCTGGGATTGGAGTGAGAACCTTAATACTCTACAGTGAGCACATTTCATTTGCATCAATATATCAGCATCCAAAGGTTAACATTTACTACTCCATGAAGTTTCTGATTTAGTTTGAAAATATTGGACATTTTAATTTATCGAATACTAAAAAAAGGGATAGTGAGCATTTATAGGGTTCAAATCAATTTTAGATATATCTAGTTATTGAAGTTATATTATATATTCAAAATCTAACCTATTTACTATTCTTGAAATTTAAAGGTTATGGATTAACCTACTTATTTGAAGTTGCACTTATGAATACAAGTTCAGTAGGTCTTACAGCTCAGTTAGAGGTGACTACACCAGATGCACGTGAGTTAATTTAACAAAACATTTTAAAAAAATATATATTTAATTCAATTTAAAAGTGATTTTTATTATGAAAATTTGTTTAAAAGTATGAAATTAATATTTAATAACCAGAAAAACTCTGAAACATGTTAACAATATTGTCACTAAGGGCTATTTTTCATCCAAACAAAATTATAATTTAATGGCTTTAAATCAATTCTGTTGTAATATCTGTTATGTATGCATACCTTTGACGCGTTTCAAACTTTAACTAAGCAATTAACTAATATTTCCTAATTTTTAAACAGTTTTTTTACATCAGATATCAGTTCATGATGAACGTCCAGCTTATACGCCAACAAAGACCAATGATCAATTTATATATATATATATATATACAGTGACTAACCATTTAAAGTTTGATATTTTACGTGCTATAAATATTCTTGATCAGTAAATGTTAAAAACGTACAAATCACTATAATTTCTACTGATATATTAATAAACAGTACAATTATTTGACAAAGTCATTTCAACGTATAGCTTATTATTTTCTACGTTCATAGTATTTCTCAAGTTGCACATATAAATTGAATTCATATCAGCATTCATAAACAGTACAAACTAATCAGTTAGCAAGTACATACACAAGTAATTTCATGTAAAGTAGTTGATTATAAACATCAATGGACTATCACATTGAATGGATCGTTTGTATGGTAAATATCTTATTTAAATCAATACAAGAAAAAAAGAGCAAAACGTGTCCGTTATGAAGAAGGTATCAAACAAAGATAATGCAATATAGTCTCACAATATGATGGATTGACTGAAGTTAGGCTTATATGTTATTGGATTTCAGCTTATTATTTTGTAGGTTGAAAATTCGTGACTGAAACCCAAGGTTCTGTGCTCGACCCCTGGTTCCAAGGTCATGGATGCCTACTAGTATTAAGTCCCATATTAGAACGAAATAGTAATTCACTGCTTCCATGCTTTCACTCGTTATTTTACTAATATCAGTTTATGATCTTAATCAAATTCAATAATCACTATCACCCCATATTTATAAGTATTAAAATAATGTTACAGGGAATGGAGGAAAAATAAGATCCCATCTATCACAAAAGTAATTATATTTTAATGGATATAATATAAGAAAATGTTTTCATATTAGGCTTTACTTCACTATACTATTTAATCATAAAAACGACCTTCATCAAAAAAAGAAAACAGTGTAACCCCCATTTTTCTGACAAAAATATTTGACACAGAAAGAAAATTACATGTTATACTCTTATCATGATAAAAACGTCTATCACATAAACCATTTCGTAATTTACATGAAAAAGAAATTGTTATTTTCATTAATGTTTTTACTAGAGGAGAAGAGAATCTAGTATTATCACATAACTTTTACATAAATAGTTAAGTATTATGAAATTTTTATAAGCAAATGTAGCAACAGCCTCTGTATCAGTAGGCCTCAACATACAAAAGAGAAAAAGCAAGATCCTGAATTACAATACGGAGAACATCAACCCAATCACATTTGATAGAGATGCTCTGGAACAGGTGGAAAGCCTCACTTATTTGAGTAGCATCATCAATGAACGTGGAGGACCTGATGCAGACGTAAAAACAGGGGTTGGCAAAGTAAAGGCAGCATTCCTACATTTGACGAACATATAGAACTAAAAACAACTGTCAACCAATATAAAAGTCAGAATCTTCAATATTTCTACTGTACGGAGCTGAAACTTGGAGAACTGCTACAGCTATCATCAAAAAGTGCAAAAATTACTAAACAATTGTCTGCGTAAGATTCTGGATGTCCGTTGGTCGGATATCATCTGCAACCGTCTACTGTGGGAGAGAGTAGACCAATTTCCAGCTGAAAGGGATATTATGAAAAAACCTTATAAGTGAATAGGAAATCATAAAACATCACAAGGTAAGTGCTAACATGGAATCTTGAGGAGAAACAAAAATGAGGAAGGCTGAAGAACACACTGCGTCGATAATTAGAAGCAGGCATGAAAAAAATCAATAGCAGCTAGAAAGGTTTGCTTGGGACAGAGTTGGATGAAGAATACTGGTAGGTGGCCTATGCTCCTCCATTAGGGGTAACATGAGTAAGTAGTAAATGTTTAACTGAACAGCATCAGTTACTATATTGATCTTCATACTAAAATGTAAGTTATTATCAGTTAGTTAAAAGTAATCTCAATATTCTTGCTGAAATAATATCCATATTCTTTAATCATATACATATTTGAATGTAGGACTGTAAGTCAAAATTTGTGTGAACTACTTGGGTGCCCAAATAAAGACAGATGAATGACATACAAACTTTCTAACTCATTATTTGAGAGTAAAATTTGTCGTTCATTAGTCTATTAATCTCAAATACCTTTCCATTTAATTTTTTTAATTAGTATTAAACCATTTCTGTCACATATATGATTTTAAGGGAAACCCTGTTGATGCTATACAGTATGAGTATTAGTTATGGAAAATTGTAAATACCCTGCGAAATCTTTACCTGGTTTCTAAGAGTCATTAAGAAAAATTTAATACTATGGAATACATACGTGGATTAACAGGAACTATCGATTGCGTTTGTTTACATGATAATCTGAATTATTGAATAGATCTGCAGCTCAGGTGGATGATTCTGGTGGTGCCATATTTTCTGAGCTTGATTGAAGGCCTTTCACTGTTGTTGTGCATAACATTATTTTCCACTATATCAGTCGGATATGAGCTATTCAAGTTATTCCACAAAACCTTGATCACTTCTTACTAATGATTTTAATCATAGCTCGTTGTCTACATCTACGTTTTGACTTAATGTGTTCTTGTATTGATATCAACTGTGTTCTTCAGTTTGCCTCTTACTGTGTGGCTGATTGACCACTTCCATATGAGTTAATAGACTGAATCTATATCAGTATGGTTGTTGATTCACAATTTTAATCTAAGTCCTGTACTCCTAGACATTCTCTTGAGCTCTTAAAGTTTCCCCGATCTAGAATGTCAATGAGACTTTCATCGACGTATACATGAACACATATCGTCAAAGAGATTATATGAAATGTTATCACTTATATCTATGCATATAAACCACCATATAATGAATTGAAACCAATGTATAAAAGAAAATCTCAGAAAGGCTGTCTCTTAGAAGCATAGTATTCAAACCAATCAAATCATCTAGCTCAAACAGCACTACACCATTACAAAACATACAAACTGGAAAAAAATGTTTTCTGTTATGGTAAATTAATGAAGCACAACAATTTTTTATCAAAAATCTGAAGTTATTTTATAATTTGTACATAGAAACTTGTTCTGGACAAATGAAAGGAAAACTTGAAACTACAGGCAACCACATGATGTTCTTATTTTTAATTTTGTTATTCTTTTAAACATAATTCAATTTATTCCAATTGTAATTAGAATTAAAGCAACATCTATAAATTAATAATTGTGAAAAATTCTAGAAAAAAGATTCCAACCTTTAAACTACAATACAATGGTTAATGATATCATCAGTTCAGAGAAATAATTAAATTCCTATCCTCATATTTCACATGAATTATTCCAAATTATAGTGATTAAATAACTAGGATTGGATTTTGTATGAACTTATATTAGTATTATTCAGTAGTATATCATGGATATATAATTTTTTTTTACAATAATGGTAGAACTTCGTAAATGTTTTAGATATACTAGAATTGATGATAAATCGTAATGAATGTGAGAAGTAGTTTCAGTAATATTGATTATAAACTTAGGGTTTTCAATATGAAACAATATGAGTTGTCTCATTTTGATTCAGTGTTCAATAATGCAAATACGTTGTATGATGTTGGGTCGCTAAGGTCGGAATAAGTAATTTGAAATCCATTGAAAAACTATAAGACTAATCAAAGAATATAAATTATCATGATTACATTTAATAGTAGGCTATAGAATAAAATCTTTTTCATCAGTATGAACAGAAAAAAAGAAACAATAATTCACCATATCAGTATTATCTCAAATGTCACATGATAACCAGTTTAGTTTTAGTTTTAGTTTAGTCTTAGTATACCCTTGTGTATTTCACACTTTACAAGTCGGCTAATATCACTTGGTAGTATTTTATCTAATAGGGTTCTTATTATTTGTTTTCTAAAAAAATTTGTTTTATCTATCACATCACCAGCATAGATCAAATCACAGATTTTGGTTTTGATGTTTGTTCTTAGGTTAAAGTAGATTTTATGATAATGTTAACTGGATGCTGTTTTTACACACTTCAATATGGATAAACGCGTACATATATATATGAGAACACTTATATTAACAAGAAAATTATAATGGCTATAAAGTATTGATATGATATCTGTTTACTATATCATCCTATCTATTTCCTATTCTTCTTTTGGCGCTACTCATTACTTACATACATACTAGATCGTAAATTTATATATATATTCATGTGACAGCAAACAACTCATCAGACAACTTACATCAAATAAAGTGGAAAGAAAAATAATATAAATGATAAAGATATAAGTTTGCTTTACGTTCTCCTTTTAAGAACCAGGTCGGATAGTGTTCCGAGATGCGTTTGGATAGTGATCGCTTTGTGCGGCCTATGTAACGTGTCCCATATGAACAAATAAATTTATATATACACATCGGTGTGGCCGAAAGCTGACGTTTGCCCTTAACACATCCCAGAATGGTAGGTCGGCTAGAGAAAACAATTCGGAGCTTAGCTGCGTAGAATATTTTATTCAACGATTTTGAAATCCATTTATTTAGAATTTCAGCAGCCGTGTCTCGTTTCAATTCCATATTCATAAACAGAGTTTTTTTCTGTACTGTTGATGGTTTTTCATGAAGTCTGGATGTCAAGTTGCTATGGACGAATCTAGGTGGATAACCATTTCTGATGAGAGTCTGTGGAAGATGAAATAAACGTACGTATTCGCTAAAACTAATATGTTTAAAAAAGGTAGTTGACCTTCTACATTCACATTTCACTTGTGTTTTAGATTTTGCTAAAACAATTAATAAAAAATATTCGACTTAATTTGTTACTTTCTTCTAGCTCCTTCTAGCAGTCCATTACATGTTCGCTTAAGTGGTTTATCATCAAGTTCCGTTGAAGTTAGCTGGGCTCCACCTCCAGTACAATATCGTAATGGGAAACTTACTGGTTATGAAGTTAGAATTTTCGAAGTTGGTGCTGAAACACAAACTGAGACTATAATCAAAGTGACAGTACCAGGACAAAGACAATATACAGCAAGAGGATTAAAAGAGAAAACATTTTATACATTTATGGTTAGAGCATTTACTTCAGCTGGACCTGGACCTTGGTCTGGTGCAAGTAATATACGTACAAGTATTGAGTGTAAGCATTATTTGTACAAATTATTAGGATTTCTTTTAAACAAAAATATCGATTAATGAAAATAAATAGGAACTTCACATAACAACTGATAATCTATTCTATTGAGACATTTGATCGGTTAATCATTTATCTCTACAATAATACAATCTGATTGTTATCAATATCTTAACTAGATATGCCGAGATAATGTATAAAATAAAACGAAAAAAAAGTCTTTCGTGAATAGTTATGAAAAGAAATGTACGATTGAAATAGTACGTTGAATTATTTCTTATGAATAATGAAATGAGATTCAGATGCTATTGAGAGATTATAAAACTACGAACTACTAGATCCTAACTCAGTGACCTAAAATCAATAATCTTAACGCAAGACTTAAAGATCGTTTGTTCAACTCATGATCGATGAGTAGCTACAAATAGGTATAAGATTCCATACTTGGTTTTCAGTGAATGTCTAGTCAATTTCGTTCCGTGTTTTGAAGTATTTTAAAAATGGAATAATTTCCTCAATCTTGATGTTCTATTAACACGTGTCACAAATGAAGTGCTCAGAAATGACATTCCTTCTTATTCTTTTTTTCCTCTAAATAAAAAAAATTATTTTTAGTACCACCTCCACCATTAGATATTCAAGCCTCAAGAATTAACCAACATCAAATCAAAGTAACCTGGCGTATACCGACACGTGAAGATCAAAGTGGTGTAGGCAGTAAACAAATCTCAATACAAGGCTTTCGTCTACTCTATTCCGCTAATAATAATCCTTATGAATCGGGTCAATGGACGTCATTTGATGTTGGCCCAGTTAATATGGCCATTATAAGCCATTTAGAAAGTAAAACGAGTTACGTAATTTGTATTAAATCACGTGGACCAGATGGTCGTTATGGTGACTGCAGTCAACCGGTAATTAGTCGACTAGCCAGCGGTAATGGTGAAAGTGATTTCTCAGTACGTGGCTTATTTTGTTCTGGAGATGATACTAGTGTGAAGGTTACTTGGCAACAACCTAAACGAACAGAAAAACTAGAAGGCTTTAAAGTAAGTGAATAGTATTAACTCTTTAGCCTAATAAGCTCTGAATTTCGAACAACCTATAATTTAGATTATTGACTTCCGAAACACAGTAGGTTAGTTATTAATGTGATGTTTAAAGCTATGAGCTCTTGGTTTGAGTCCCAGTGTGAACGTCAACGTTGGGATCCAGGTGCATCCAAATAATAAATTTTAAACAGAACAGGACACACTCCTTGGATTCTACTACAAATGGCGCATGAACTAAGATTTTTCAAAATGAAAAAAAAACAAAACAATTTCGTCTAAAAGTAAAATAAAGTAACTAAATTAAAAAATTTTAATAAAAGGTATATGTCCAGTTGTTTATTGGTATAAATTCATTAATCCAGTTTGACAGATTTTACACTAATATTGTGGTGTAGGCTACATAACATAACTAGTATATAACACCAATAGGAAGTGGAAACCCTGGCATCAGAAGGTTAATATCAAGTTGAAGAGAATAGAGAAGGAAATTTGAAAAGAATTTCGAATAGGGAGAATCATACATAACATGAACTACAAATGATAGGAATTTTAAAATAAAGCCTTTGATATATGTTTCTCACATATTACCAAGATACATCGGTTGTCCCCACCTGTGTTCTCGTTCACTACAGTATGTTTTCAGTCAATGTCCAATATTGTTCTTATTGTCATCAATAGTTAAATTATAATCAGAGAGGGGTTTTGTGGATATTATACTAATTTAATTGTTGAAATCATGAGTCAATTGAAGCTAGACCACCATGAAAAACCTGGAAGAACTGGGTTCGAATCTCGCGAGGCGGGATCGTGGATGCACACTGTTGAGGATTCTCACAACAAGACGAAACGGCCGTGCAGTGTTTCTAGGTTTTCGATGGTGGTCTAGCTTCAATTGACTCATTAATTCAACAATTAAAATAGTTATATTGTTTCAGTTGTATTTTTTGTAATATCGCTAATTTATGGGTGAAAGAAAAACTAAGTCATATCAAGATTTAGGTTATGAAAATTTGTATTTTGTATAAAGTTTATCCAAATTATAAAGAAATTTGATTGATTTTAGAAACAATATTCTATTAACATTGAAACAATAAACGAACATGACATTATTACCGCTAAGTGATTACTCAATATTAATAATATACTTTCTTCTTTAAGTGATAAGAACTAGAAAAACATTTAATGATTCTAGAGGTTTGGACAGCTGACTTTTACTAGACTGTCAATGGCTCTTCAGTGGATATTAGTTTATGATAAAAACACCACCAATAGACTATATATAACTCTAATTCATTTTGTATTGGTACACCTAACGGATGAGTCTCGAATATGACATAACTCATATCCTGGATTCCACTGCTAGCCACTATCCATCTCTGCTTATATATAATTTTCTATTAAATAAAGTCGGTTTTTTTATTTACAGTAAAAGTTTGTAATAAAATGGGTAAAAATATATCTGTTGCCACACATCAAGATTTCATCTATTCTCTGTGTTGGCATTATATATGTAGATATAACACTAATTATCGATTTTGTGATCTTTACAAGTTTAATGTGAACTAAAATTCCATATTTTAAAATGAGATCTCCAACTTACAACCCATTTACTCACAAAATAAACTTGATAGGAGAACATCATAAGTTGGAACCTTTTTCTTTTTCTTTTTTTTGTTTGTTTTCAAATCGATTCATTTTTATTCCACATAGTTTATTTAAATTATTATTCATTTTGATAAATAACTAATTCTTCTATTCTATCTCCATAAACTTTCTTTCAAAACAGATTTAAATTAATATGTATATGTTAAAGACTACTAAACTAATCCTTCTAATTAGTCGCATAGATACCAAAACTAACCATGACAACAACAACAACGAAAAAAGGTTAAAAGTTAATTTATATCAGTTGGTTGTATTGATAAAATAAATTATAATTTATTCTTAACAATAATATTTAGTCTGGTTAAATTATTAAATACTAAATGGAATTCAATTAACTATTTTCATGTTGTTACTTATGGAAATAAAAAGGCAATTTAATTTTAGTTACCAAGACTGTTTTCTTACATTTATAATTATACATTTTGCACATTAAGATGAATGAATTTGGCGAAAAAAATATTGGCGTATTTATGAAATTGTTATTTATACATGAGATAGAATACATTTATTTCAGACATGCTTTTGTCATTTATATAAGATTTGTGTTATTGGCATATTATAATTAAAATTTTGTAATATGAACACATTGAAGAAGTGCCTTGATTTTATGAAATGGTTATCTAGACTTAGTAACTAAAGTAGATCAAGGGTCAGTGTTGAAATTGTTAGGTTTAAACCTCAGTCTTGGTAATAACACCTGGATGATAGTACAAATATTGGATAGGATGGAACAATCATTCTAGTTCTTACTCTTAAACATATTTCGAAATAAAAATATAACCCACATAGTAGTGTATTAAAATTAGTCAATCGTAGAAATGAACAACAGCTTATCAAGTTTTCTATATTTTCAAAATAATAATATTATTTTCTATCTTCAGAATAGTTACTAAGACCTTTTTATGACAAATGGGGAGCATTATTTTTAAAATAAATATATATATTTTTAATAACCTACTTATAAACTAGGTGATCAATTAGGTTGACTTGATTTTCGATGTAATTTAAGTAGAACGAGAAGAACAAGTCTTAATCAAAGTTAATCAAAGTATAACAAAAGGGTTTTTGTGGATATTATAGTTATTTCAGTGGTTGAGATCATGAGTCAATTGAAGCTAGACCATCATGGAAAATCATGGAGTCCCACAATAGGACAAAATGGCCGTCCAGTTTTTCCAGGTTTTCCATGGTTGTCTAATTTCAATTGACTCATGATCTCAACCATCAAAATATAACAGTTAATAAAATGAATATTTAATCATATAGTTTTTCTAATACATGACAGATTAAAAAAGACGCCGTGTTGAGATTATGAGGTGTGAGGTATATATTGTGTATTTCAATATAGCTTCCAAATTGAACGGATATTACAACTGCTTTTTTTTGGAATTTTTATCCGTAGAATAAGTCTAAAAAAACAGATTGAGCTTGTTAAACACTTATAAACCATCTTAATAGTAATAATTTGTAAGAGTTTTCTGAAATCTCAAAGAAGGTAGTTCTTTATGAAATATCTGTGCTTGTATCACACAACATCACAGACATCATCATGTTTGTCACTAACGATGAACCAGCGTCTAAATGTCTAAATGTCATTTTCAATAAGTTTTGTTGATAAGTAGTGGAAATTATTAATAAAACGTATAATCTTTTCACGATTCCATCTTGTATAGCTCAGCGATGTGATGTAATTACGAGTCAAATAATCGATAATTCATAAGATATTCACAAATTACAGCAGATGTACCATTTTACTATTCACAGTTTTCACAAAATTAAGTGACCATTGGAGTTCAGTCAGGTCTGTTGTGACATATCAGCTCACTGAAAACAATGGTGGACGGTGGCGCAACTTCGTGGATTGGTTGAAGCTAGACATTACCACCGTTAGATGCCGACTCAGTGGTCTAAAGGTTAAGCGCTCGCGCACGAGACTCATAGGTCCTGGGTTCAAATTCCGCGGGGGGTGGATCGTGGATGCACATTGCTGAGGAGTCTCACACTAAGACGAAAAGGCCGTCCAGTGCTCCCAGGTTTTCCATGGTGATCTAGCTTCAATTGACTCATGATTTCAACTACTAAAATTAAGCGTGTTTAATTTTCTTCATTAACAAGAATATCAATTCTGCTTCACTAGATCTGATAATAAGTGAAGTAAATTAATTAAAAATTATAATTGAAGTTCTTTAGATCACTAAACAAATAGGCAATAACACAATGACAAACTATTTTAACTTAATCAGGATTTAAAACTTTCATTACGTGAGTGAAGTTTTCGTATTTCTTTTAATTATTTTCACATTTTTCATGTAGGAAGCATTGTTTACTTGTCAAATAACTTTCTAATGTTTCAATTAAACAGAGCCAGAATAACAAGTTTTGTAGGATAAAATCAATTCATTCTATATCACAGTTTCTCATCAGTTGTCAGAATGAGAGTTTGTGGAAATTATAGTAGTTTAATGGTTGAATTCATGAATCGATATAAGCTAGACTACCTTGAGACACGTAGAAGTATTGGACGGCTGTTTCATCCTAGTATGGGACTCCTCAACTGTGTGCATCCACGATCCCATACGTGGGATTCGAACGCAGGATCTTTGGTATCGCACGTGAACGCTTAACATCTAGAACACTGAGCCAGCATCCACACAGTGCTAATGTTTAACTTTCAACAATTCATGAAATTGTGCCACTGTCGACCATTGTTTTCAGTGAGTAACTGTCTAAAGCTTCCAATTTTTCTAAGGTGGTTTGGCTTAAATCGACTCATGAATTCAACCATTAAATAAGTATAATTATTAACAAATATTTGCATAAATCAGTTTGCAAAGTTTAGATAAATGTTGGAGAAACATAACCAAAGTAATAATAATAAGACGAATACGGATACAAAGTGCATGAATAAACACAGTTAGAATGTATATTTATATATTCCAGAAAGTAATAATGCAGAATAAAGCAGCTGTTATAGTTACCAGTAATCATAGTCAAGATGAAAGAGTATATTTAAAAGAATTGAAATTAATAAGTGATTAGGTAATTTCTCAATATGATAAAATAAGCAATTATGTGAACACCAATGAAAGATGAATATCAGAGGACGAAATAAAAACAAAGATAAATGATTGAGTACAGGGTTGGAAAAAAAATTTAAAGTTAATAAAGGTTATTAGATAAATCCTTAATCACTATGGTGAAAAAAAGGCTAATTACATTTTCCTTCCGTATACAAATGTCAAGTCGGAAAGGTTTGATAGAGAGTGTCTCTGCCAAAGTGAGACTGCTTTTTAGCCAATAATTGTTTTAAATGCATTACTTACATTTACCTC